TTTGATTCGCTTATAAACATCCGGCTTAAATTTTATGATGGTTTCACCAATATAATTAAAAAAAGCGTAAATTTTAAGCTAAGGGAAACTTTAGTTCGGGACACTTTATTTAACTTGTTCCAAGCCATTGAATAGCTGCTTGCTTATCGCAGTAATCTTAAATTGTGATTCAATATATTTTATTTTTTTAGTTACCAGAGTCATTTAAGTATTTATTGCGCTCTATTGGCTGCAAATTTGGACCCCGTGAATGTAAATTACTACATGGTATAATATAAAATTTACGTCTATGACACAATTAAAGTCTGAAGGGCACTTGAACACCTTTGGAAGAAGAGGTACCGTTTCCTATATTGATAAAAATATTTATTATACACCAGGAAAATAAGGCAAAACCTATATTACCATGTTTTTATTAAAACTTTCTTGATATATAATATCTGCTACTAGTTCTGGTGCTTTTTCTTGACCACAATGAAATATCTGAGAAGCTGTATCACACTCATCCATTCCCTCTGCAAAATGAAATTTTTATAGGTTCATTTGAAAATAAGCATATATTATATTATATTATAATGCATAATTATTATCTTTTTGAGCATTAATTGAATTAAAAATTAAAGTGAACTTGCTTTTAGAACCACATGTTGATACGGCCTGCATGTTTTGCTGAAGTTTTGAGGTAGAAAGCGTCAAAGTTTCAACATAGCGTAGTATTTTTTCATCAACAAGCTGCCCATTGTTAAGCTAATTTTAATGGATTTGACTTGAATAAATAATGCTTAACAAAATATTACTCACATATCCTCCATTTTCTCCCAAACATTTCAAGAAGCACTGCAATTAAATTGAAAATGAAGAATATAAAACATAAAACTTAATAAGGAACCTTTATATTAATGTTGAAGGCATCCACATTGAATATTTGCTTCACTTGAGCTGCATTTTTAATTTTAATAATTGCTGCTGTGTAAGATCAAACCAACCTTCTGAAACATTATAAGCTAATCTGCATTCTTCCACCATGGCATCTGAGGCCATAGTTAGTTTCGTCGTGTCTCTTGCCTCGCAAATGAATCTCATTTTCAAAGCACAATTTGTATCGTTCAATGTTGCTGAATCTCTTGACGACTTCAGGGAAATGCAGTTCTCCTTATTTTCAAAGTTGTTTGGCTCGCCTTTGCCCCACTTGGCCTCCTTGTCTCGGAGCAATTTATTTGCCGAGCACCATCCAAAGTGGCCTTCACAAGCCAAATCACTGCCCGAAGTCCAAAAATTCCCTTCAGCTTTGGTTGAATCTACGCGAAATTCATATAAAACAAACAGATAACTAAAATTTTGATATACTTTTGGCTGCATCAATCAAATTTCCATACTCGTAGTCAAACTCTATGCTCAAAAGTTTCATTCCAACAGCACAGCACGCTTGCATTGAATCATTCCACTATAATTTTAACAATTTTTCATCTTTATACTGCTTATGATCAATCTTTTCCTTTACGTTTGCAACACCAATGCTAAAAAGATAGGTTCTTCCATTAACCGAATGCCAATGACCAATTGTCGATGCATCTGAAATAAAAAAAAAGGGATTAGAAGGACCAATGAGGTATTCTTGTCTAATTTAAAGGACTTCAGTACTTTTCAAATAAGTTGTTGTTTTATCCGCAAGAGTGGTAAATAATGATGCCTATTTTTAATAAGTTATTCTATAAATTATTTAATAATTCAAATTTGTTTGTACATTTGTAACACATTTTAAAGAAGGACAATTGGGTTCGAAGCAAGGAGGTGCCGGAGTTGTTGGACCCTGGAAATTGCAAATGATCCAAACTTGAGTACAACAAGCAGCTTTTCTATACATTACCTGGCAGCCAAAAACATAAAGATTGGAGCAATTTTTATCCGTTATGTAGAATTTCCCAATTGTTTGGTTTGAAAATAAGCTCAAACTGACACAGTTTTCTGTCGAATTTAAATTATTGGGCTCATTTGGAAGCCAAAGCTCTGAAGTGTTGTCAAAAGTCATGTCTGACTGGCACCATTGGAAAGTGCTACTTGATCCAAATCGGCGACTTGCCGTCCAATAATAGGTATTGTAATTCCAGAAATTTGCTTTGATTGAAAAATAATTATATTTTTTTAAACGTAATTAAAAATATTCTTCTACGTCTAGCCAAGTAGTTCATGCAGTCTCTTTTCGCAACATTTTCAAAATAAATAGGTTTCATCCCAATGCTGCAGCATTTTTCGTAATTCTCCCTCCAATTAACCTGTGAAAAATCCATTCATTTCTTAAGTAAGAGGAATGCTTTCGCGGTTATTTAGAAAAGTTATAAGATATAATTATTTAATCTTACCACTTGCTTTCCGAACAAATATAAAAGCCCACAAGCCTCTACCCAGCCGCCGTAATTTTGTGGATCTAATACATTTTAAGAAATATTTTTTCTCTCAAGTTGAAAAATTCAGATAAAAATTAATTTTTACCAATCAGATTGCCATCATCAAATAGTGAGCCCTTTAAGTTAAAAGTGAAACATTTAAATTTTTTATGTTTAAAATTTAAAACTTACATTTTTGAAGCACGTGTCTATGCACTTAAATTCCAGCTTTTACATTTTTTAAATAATTTTTTTAACTTTTAATAATTTTTTATTTTTTATCATACCTTAGTTGTTTTTAATTGAGAAAAATTCTTCTGGCTTGACGCTGTTGGTGTCAGTGCATTGCCAATCGACGCTGGTTCAGTCAATCTACTTGTCCCAGATTGTATTGGGTTGATGCTGGTTCCAACAAAATTTTCGAATCTTGAAGTTTCCGTTGGATTTTCAGCTATGACCGCGGACATAGACAAACTTTTTGGACCTTCTGTATTGCTAGTTTCACTTGTCAGATCTATCAGCTCTGATTTTAAATATGTGTAAGTTTGAATGAAATACGCATGTGATTGCCAATGTTTTGGTAATTCAAACCTGGCGTTTGCCCGGAAGCGTGTGGAGTTGGTGATAAAGTCTCATCCGTCATTAATTCACGATAAACAGTTGTAGCTGCGTCAATGGCTCCCTCAGTTTGAGGGGTCATATCAATAGGTGGAGGATTCTCTTCTAAGCTTTTCCCATAGATTTTCAAAAAATTAAATATTATATAATTTTACCATTATAAAATGATGTTGATATTTCCAGCGTGCTGCCCACATTTTTTCCTGATGTTTTTGCAATCTTAAAAAAAAAAAATAAGATTTGACGGTTAGGTTTTTGTTGTTGTTAATCAATTTTTTTTAAATAATGTCCAGATATATAATTTTGGTTTACCATTGTGCTCCTTAAAACTGCTTTTTTCGATACGTTGAAAATATTTTTGACACACGATAAACTGCCGCAACATTTTATTATAATATTGCGTCTTGAGGACAATCTTCGCACTTGAAGATCACCAAAATTTAAAAGTTAGATTCGTGTAGTTATAATTAACACAAACCAGCGAATTTTTCCCTTGAATATCCGTTTCGTTTTAAATTTTTATGTTGTCCACTATTAGTTCCAACTAGAGTCTGAAATTATCATATTTTTATAAATCATCAAATTTGGAATTAAAATTTTCTTACTAAAAGTAGCAAAATGAAGAACACAACAATATTCATAACGAAAATTTTCAATTTTGTTGTTTCCGACTCAAAATTTTGACCAACTGGTTCTGTGAATGTGTGCTATATCCGCTATCTGGTGTGTCGTTTCATGATTTTAACATTCTGACGCAGATGAAAAAAAAATCATCACGCACGTGCCGAGCGTTTTGTTAAAAACAAAATTGAGCAACGGTAAGGTTGTTGCGTAATTCTTTTTGGAATTTGTAGGTATTGTCGTCTCTTATAGTTCTTACTTTAGAGAAAACCCTTTTGTAAAAACGATGCCGCATTTTATTCAATCTCTGTACCCATCAATTGTGAGCACTGAAATCACAGAATATGATTTTTGCCCCATAAAAAGATCGCCCCCTCCCCTCGACAGATTTTTCCACAACAAAGTGCAGTGAAAAAGTCGCAGTGTGTGCGTCCGTGCTGAAATCGCATTTTTCGCAAAGAGCAGCCACACGTGCCATTAGTCAAATGAAAGGGGTGGCCTTCGCCCGCCGAGGAGCTATATGGGGTGGAATGGAATGAATGGCCAGGCTTATCAGAGCGTTTCCTCGCCACCGACCACCGCTTATCGTTCCTTATGGTGGACGCCGTTTGGCCGCTGATTTATGGCCGCAGCGGCCCTCCGCGTCGCTGATTCTCGCATTTCGCTTCTTGCCCCGCTCTTTTCGCTTTGTCCTTCGAACCGGCCACTCGCAATTAAAACAATTTTCTGCGACATAAAATTTTCACTGTTGAAAGTTACGGCTGAATGAATTTGTTTTGATTTTCCAACTTCCCTTTTCAATTGGTGCGACAAAGAGATTTTCATGATTTAAATATCAAATCTCATTATTGGAAAAATTTTAGAGAAATAAAAACGTTTCTGCGTGTTGGGTTTACTTTTTACTCTTCATTAAAATTTTTGAAAAATATGCTCTTTTAGCTTTTTTTCTATAAAAGGTTGTTCCTGAAAATTTAATTTTTTCATTTTTTTTTTTATAATTTTTAACTCTACATGAGCAATATTGGTTTAAACTTTGAAAAATTAGGTTTTTTATATAAGGTCTGTAAAAAGGTGGTTTTCAGTTGTTTGTCTTAAAGTTTTCTTAATTTTCATTAATAATTATTCCTTTTATCTTATTTTATATTGTTTTATATGAAGTTTACTTAAATTTGAAAATTAAAATTTTCCAAATATAAATTTAAAAAATATCAAATTCAACTTATTTTTGTAAATTTGAGCACTTTTTAACCCCAGGCAGTGTAAAATAATCAATTTATTGAGTTCATAATATGGGATAATGTTGTCTTAAGTTTGAACCCAATGAACAACTTCATGAAAGGAAATGAAAGTGATAATTAAAAAATTCAGAGCTGTCTTCTAGAATGAATAATTTTTCATTTATTTTACATAGAGAACACACATAATTATTACAAATATGCTTATAAGCTAAATATTAAATATTACAGTGCAGTCAGTTTTTGGCTTTAGATTTTTTACAAAGTGAATTAATTTAAGAATTAACCGAAGAATGGTATGCCCATCATGTAAGGGTTGAATCCCATTCCCAAGCCACCCATGCCACCCATGCCACCCATGCCAAGTCCCACACCGGATCCCATCGACTGTGATTGTGCTTGGGCTTGAGCGCCGGCCATTCCTCCTCCCATTCCTCCTCCCAAACCACCGAATCCAATTTGGCGGCGCTGACGGTCGTGCACTGGCATTCTACGTTAAATAAAAATTAGAAATTAATAAGCATAAAAACGGGAGAAAATAATCTGATTGTGAGTCTCACTGCGGCTGGGGTTGGTAATATTGGTAGTATCTGGGGTCTATGGCCACTGGATAATCTACATAGTAAGTTGCTCCAGCAGGCATTTGTGATGGATCCATTCCTGTAGTGTAGACAGTGCGGGAAGTGTAACCTGTTAGTATACAAAAGTATTCTTTTTTGCGGAATATTGTAAAGAAAAGTTTTTACAATTTTAAATAATTTTAAATATGAGAATTTGCAGTAAAAATAAAAGCGATGAAAATAAACCATAACTTAGGCAATTTCCATGTAGTTTATAAAAAAATTAATTTATAGTTTTTTTTTTTAGAAATAAAATTTATGAATTTGGAAAATGTTACGAACCAACGACGTTAGGGTTGGGCGCTGGGTAAGCGGAAGCCAAAGCCAACAAGGCGGAGAACATCAGGCAAAGCTTGACCATCTTGCTGGAAGTAGAAATGTGGGTTGGAAAAATCTGAGTGGACTGGAAGCTTTTCTGTTGAGCTGTAGAAGGCGATGTGACTTCTGATGCTTTTACATTCGCTCGGTCCACTTTTTATACCAGAACTTATCATTCAAGGAACTCGTCCATTTGCACGTAACCTGATAAAAGATGACCTCGTCCTTCTGGAAAATTTCCACCTTTTTCGCGACCTTTGATACCGTTTTTTGACGAAATCGGCGACCTTTCCTTGGCAGTTTCCTCTTTCGGGTGAATAAAGGTCGCCTGACCGTGACAAAAAAAAAACAAGCTGCTGAACATAAAAAATGAACAGAGCACTCCCCCTAATTCAGCGCGACGACAGCGCAAGGGGATGAAGTTGCTGGTGCAGCGGGGGTCAGTGGATCGAGAGTGTTTTAGCTTTTATTGCGATTCCACCCGGCCGGCGCTATCAATTGATATCAATCGAGATTGCCGGAAAGCAATCGGAAGAGCGGATTGAAATGACCAAGTCAGCCCGCAATAAATTAATCTGCCCTCCGATTGGAACGAGCAGTTTTTTTCTGATGTTTTCATTCAATTATGCTGCTTATTTGTTGGGGGTCGCTGCCAAAACGCACTAAGTGCAGTGACCCATTCGTTCAAAGAATTCTATTACAATGAAGAAAAAAATGAGCACAATTTTTTAATTAGCTGAAAAAATTGAATGTGTATAGTAGATAGATTATAAATAAACAAAATATTAAAAAATACACATCAGGCACTGTGTTTTTCTATTATAATTAAGATGCATATTATATATTAATATAAAAAAAAATTACAAAAAAAAATCATCTGCTCTAATTGAGATACTGTGTACAATATTAAATTATACTTTTTAATCTCTAACAAATTTGCCAGCAAGAAACCAACACAAATGTGAAAAGATTTGAACGATAATGGAATAACTTTATTTTCTAAAAATAAAGGAGAAATATTATTAGTTTTTAATATTATCACTAATTTGTGAAATTTATTTTAATTTAAAATAATTATAATTTATAACACTAAACTAGCTTTTGCTTTGATCTATGAAGTACAAAAAGTATTTGCAATCATTTAATAGCAGAATAATAGAATGTTGCAATCAAAAACTTTAAATATAAATTTTATTTTTGACTGCTGTTCCTAAAAGTATATCGATTAAAAAATCTATGGGTTAGTGGTAGTATTTGTCCTTTTCTATTTCATATTTTATAATAAGAAATTTTGAATTTTTTGTACTTGCATTAATTTTATTTTAAATCCTTTAAGTAAAACAAATGAAAGAGCTACATGAAATATTTAGTTCAATTTTGAAATAATTATTACTCATTTATCAAGCACCATGGAAACCAATGAAAATGGGATTGCTGATGTATTTTCATATCTTTAACAAGCAATCATATATCCTCCTATGCTTTAAACAATGTTAAAAAGTTTTTATTTATTCTGACAGTGTCTTTTTTGCCTGTTCAAATTTACTTTCGGTTTAAAACTTGAGCCGCAGAACTTGTGGGTCAAATTTTCACACACAATAAATTTTTCTGATTTTGTTGAATGCTACAATAATTTTTCAATTCTATATTTTGTGTGTCACCGTTCGATATTATTTTATTCATAACTTTGTTAAAGTTGGGCTGATATGTTTCATATTATTTTGTTCATTTCATAAGAATGATCAATTAAAATAATATACCAAACGTCAAAATAAACTATTAAATTTGCATATGGAAAATTTTATTTTGGTGCACAATCAAATTGAAAAATTAAGGCCTCGGTTGAACTCCAGTAACGTTGGCGACCCAGCCAAGATACGCAGAGACCCTGGTGAAGCCACTCGGGTAGTCAACGCATGAGTAAGCAGAACCGAAGGAAACGAGGCCAACTTGCGTGAATTTGTTATCATTTTCCTTCCCTACGAAAGGTCCGCCGCTATCACCCTGAAAATAATTAGTCCATTCCGGAAATAGTCAATCAGAATTATTGAGGCCACCGAAGAAATTAAAAAAAAGAGTTAAGGCTTACATTGCACGACCCTTGTTTGTCACCATTGCCAATGCACATCAATGCGCTGTTAACTGTGACATTTCCGTATTGTTTGGCGCACAACTTAGTATCAATCACTTTCCGATTCAGAAACTTCAAGTCATTGCTTGTATCGCCACCTTTAATTTAATTTAGAAAAATTAAATATATTTTTCACAAAGAACAAGGGCATTTTTTTATAATTAAAGTTTGAAGCCATCAAATAATTTTTACTGGCATCATCCTCATATTTTCCCCAGCCGCTGACAATTCCACTTAACCCAAAAAGCGTTTTCTTTGCATCAGCAATTTTTGGAAGCCTCACAGTGGTGATGAAAACGCCTGTAGAGAAAATTATGTTAAATTCCAACGTATCAACCATTCTTGGCTATTTTTACCAGAGGTGTCAATTTTTTTATCCAGTTTCAGAAGACAAATGTCTTTGGTCAAAAATGTTTCATCAAATTCAGGATGTAAGAACATTGCAGTAACGTTGACGTCAACCCTGCTCGTCTCAGCGCCGGTTCGGTTGACAAGTCCCAATGAAACTAAGTAGTCAGATGGGCTGGCAGGGAAAAATTAACCAGAGAAGACAGTGAATTTTGTCCCTATCGTTTACCTGAAACCATTGCAGCAGTGACCAGCTGTCATGACCCAGGACGGATCAATCAATGAGCCGCCACATGTGTACTGTTTTGAAATTGTGAGCAAGGCTTGCCACGGAACTTGACCGCGGCTTGCCTCTTTTCCGCCCACAATTTGATCATTCACTTTAATGGCCACATTTCCAGCGGACTCTATAAAATTTAAATTGTTGCAAATAGATTTTGTGTTTATTTTGATGACAATTTAATAGTTTTTAGACATGAAATAAGTAAAACTTCATCCCAATTAAATGGACGCTGAATAAAATATTTCATCTGATTTAAATGAAGTTAGATTTTTGCTTTAAAGGTTTTTGTTAATTTATTTTCCAAAATTTTGTTTGTGTTTCAAACCTTCTTGTTTGCGAGTCCCTTTTGGCCGAAAATCAACCGTGTACTTGTTTGCCTTATCAAAAGCCTTGTCGTTGAAATTGGGGTTTGGTTTTGGTACCAACAGTTTTTCCAAGGGTTTTAGGGTTAAAGCAACCTTGCAATAAATAAGAAATTTTATTAAAGCGGGCACTTTATGCGCAGAGCTTTGCAATTTACCTGAAGGATGCACGCCACCAAGATAGTGACAATCAACTTGGAGGACATTGCTGAGGGACAGACAGTGAAGAACTGCTCGAATTCTGTCGTAAAGTAGAGCACCTGCGTCAAAAATTCAGGGTGCTTAACAGAGACCGGCCGAGTGTATAATTTGATAAAATAACCAGGGAGCGAGGCAGGAAATGAAAAACTAAATAAGTGTTGTTGGAGGTTAGAGCTTTTTATAAAATGTCATTGCTCTGTTTGCCTTTGATTTATTGCACCGTAATTTTTTGCGAAATAATTTTACACACTGATGGATTGTGCCAAAATCAGAAAATTTTATTTTTATTATTTTTTTTGCCAAGTTCTCAAAAGCTTGTACTATTTTCTTTATTCAATTTTATTTTAATCAGGCCAGATCTTTTCAGCCTGTGCCCTATATTTTGATCTTGTGGAAGGCAAGCTCCAATCTTGTAACTATTACTATCAGAAACAAAAATTGATTTTTTATTTTAATTTAATTATTTTATTGCTATCACAATTATTACAGTTAATTGTCATTTATTAAATCCAAGTTTTTAGCAAAACAAATATTTTTATTCCTAAAATCATTAAATTTGCGAATTCGTTGTAATTATTATTCTTTCCATCATTTTCTGAACTGAATTCCTGTGTGGTTAGAAATCCAACCCATGAAGCTGGTCACTCTGGTGAAGCCCTGGGGGTAGTTGTGGCATGAGTAAGCGCTGAAAGAGACGATGCCGATCTGCGACCACTGACCATCGCTTTCTTTGACGACCAAAGGCCCACCGCTGTCACCCTTTAAGAGAATAATTAATCATAGCACGTGACAAGAGAAACTTGATTACGCTGCAAATGCCCTTATTATTTGCACCAGAGACGCACATCATCGTTGGCTTTATGTATTCGGCGCCATACACGGCTGAACAATTGACGTTTGAAATTACAGGGATTGTAACATAGTTAAGCTGCACTGTTACAGTTCCCGCTAAATGTAAAATTTTAAAATTAATAATTCTTCTTTCAGCCATTTATTTCATTCTTACCGTCTGATGTTTTACCCCAACCACTGACAACCCCATTTGTGTTTACAAATGTCCTTGAGCCATCAGAAACTTTTGGCAATCTGATCGTGTTGATGAAAGGACCTTTAATTTAAATTTTTTTCAGTCTAAAACAATTTTTTTTCCTTCTTCGCACCATAAATTTATTGCTTTAGAAAAAAAGTAAACGTAGACAAGTTTAATTTCTTTCTTTATAAAGTTTTAATAATTTTTGAAATTTTTTGCAAAGAAAGAATAATTGAATATAAAATTTATTTTTTTCAATTTCACTTTTTAAACCTGTTATGTTGATTGGAGAATTCAGTCTCAAAAGTGCAATGTCGTTTTGAAGGTTCTGGTCATTGTAACCGTGATGGATGAACTTGTGTTTGGTGACCACGTTTATTCTTCCCGCCTCAACAATATTGCGTTTTGCAGACCCAAGTGTTATTTCAAAATCTGAAAATCTGAATTTTATAACGATAAATATAATTATCATTATTATAACAAAGATTCAAATATAAATTTAAACTAACCCGAGCACGCAATGGGCTGCAGTCAATATCCACTGGGGTGAAATCAGAGACCCTCCACAAGAGCTTGACTTGTCCATTACAATATAAACTTGCCAAGGAAATTGACCTCTGGCTGCCCTGAACCCACCGACGATTTGTCCAGTCGGTAGAATACGCACCATACCAGCACCGGCTGTTAGTTGGTAAAGAATTAAAAAAATTAAATATCTTTTTTGGTTAGAAAATTTACCTGATTGGGGTCGCGTGCCATTGGGGAAGAAATCGATTTTTGGTTTATTCTTCTGCTCGAGCAGCTTGAACTCGGTCTCGTTGTACACAAGTTTCTCTTTCAGCACTGGCAGGATTTTGTTAACGAAAGTAATTTTTTGCTCCTGCCCCACGACCTAAAATTTTTAATAACACAGGTTTTTATGCCATCGCAATTCCAGTACTTTCATTGGCGTTAATTAAATTTATGGAAAACTATTACTTTACCTGCTGGCAGAGGACGAGGGCGACGACCAGGGAGATTGACAGGTGCACCATAATTGACCGGGTCGAAATCAGCAATTGCCGCCGGCATTGTTGCGAGCACCCACTTTTATATACAAAACGATCGGCAGCTTTCGTGACCCCCATAAATCAAACAAACATACATTTATGCCACAGACCAAGAGGATTTCCGCGCGTGTATGTTCGCACCAAATTATGCAAACCATCGAGAGAGATAAAATGTTAGGAAGTGAAACCATGTGATAATGCGTCAAAAATAAATCAGGTCGACGCAAATCGTGAAAAATAAAGCTTTGCACGCGTCCGCTCCGTTTTTGGCGAACGATAATAATTTTTTTTAACAACACCTCGTTTTGCAATTAATGACACCAACAAACGATTTTTATGACTTCATAAATTGTGAAATTTTTATTTGACGCGAGCATCACTTTTCTATTTTCAAGCCCGTTTGAGCAGAAATCCAACTGAGAAAATGAGTTACGCGCGTAAAACCTTGTGGAAATCCATAACACGATTTCTTTGTTCCGAAGGAAACTATTCCGATTTGAGTCAATTTCTTGTCCTTTTCCTGATATATCAAAGGTCCGCCGCTATCCCCCTGATAAATAATTTAATTTTATGACTGCCTGAAACATTGCTACATAATTACGCTGCAAATTGACTGATTTTTTGTGCCTTCTATGCAAAGCACTGAATCGACAATGTTGACATAGTTTTTACTGCACTCCATATTTGGAATAACCAATTTGTCGCTTATGTAGTTTAAAACGTTACTGACAGGACCTCCTAAAATTCATAATTTTTGTTTTACTTATTCCGAGTTTAACAAATTTCACCATCTTTAGTCCAGCCCCAGCCACTTGTAGTGGTAGAAACACCAACAAAATTGTTTTTTACGTCAGACCTCTTGGGCATCCGAATGAAATTTATGTAATTGTCTGTTAAAGAAATATTCATAAAAATAATTTCAAAAAATATAGAACAAAAATACTTGGTTGAACTTTAGTTTGCAATTTAATTAAAGCAATGTCATTGGTTAAAAGTTGGTGATTGTATTTTGGATGAAGTCTTTTTATTTTTGAAGAAAGGACAAGGCTTCCCTCCTCCGCCTGAACATTGGAAATGTTATGCGCCCCAAAATAAAGGTCGAAAAACTTGAACCTATACCAAAAATTAATTTTTGCAGAATGATAACGTGGAAAGTGCAAACTTGTAAACGCAATGTCCTGCTGTCAGAACCCAGCAGGGTTTTATTAAAGTTCCACCGCAGTGCACCGAACCATCCATCACAATTTTCACCATCCATGGCCACTGACCACGAGTGGCCTCTGTGCCGCCCACGATTAATTGGTTAACTTTTTCAAGGACAATCCCGGCAGATTCTGTATTTATATAATTTGCAAATTTTAGAAATAAGAAATAAATTTATACCTGGGGCAGGTTCAGTTCCAGGAAAGTTTTCACCAGGCCTGCTTCGGATATGAGAGTAAATTTTTATCCATTGCAAATACGACTGATTAAACTCTGGAAACTAAACGCCCAAACGTATTAACAAAAAAAAAATACTGTATTTACAAGAAAAATTTTACTTGAGCTTCATTCTGATGAATAAATATAGCGAATACTAAGAGTAGTGGCCAGTGCATTGTTGGTGACTTTTTAATTTTTATTATAATTTTTGCTGGTGTCAGAATGAAAATTCCCTCGTTTTTTTGCAGCAAGATAATGTCACTTGAAATTTATGTTATCAATTTTTCACCGCTCATTAGTCCTATACTGTACTGACCTGGCCTGAAAATGCCACTTTTTATCAAAAAAAAAAAAAAAAAAAAAAACGCGTCGCAGGCACTCTCAATTAAAGTAATTTTACAATTTTATCCATATAAGGTTTAGAAAACCAGGAAAACGAAGTTTTTAGCTTTTTCATAATTTCATGATAGTTAAAGCTCACCCACTAAAACTATCTGTAAGTACAAACCACCACATTTTTTTTAATGGAAAATATTTTTGTGCTATGTGTTGAAGCTAAATACTTAAAAAAGCATATAGATATTTTAATTCCATCTATTGTTAAATAAAAAATCAAAAGGTGGCTGTTTTATAAAGAAAAACTTACGTCATTACTCTACCACCAGTGCTCACAGAGAACAGCGCCAAAAGAAGTTCCCTTTTTTCTCGGATGAGGGCACATTTGTCCAGCTAATGTTTGGTATGTGAATTTGTCTCACGGGAAATTGAAACTGACATCGGAACGGCCTTTAATTTTATTTGACAGTTTTGAAACAGTGCAGGAGAATATGAAATTTTGAAATTGAGGCACTGAACCTTACTTTATAAGATTAATTTTCTTTTGCAGGGGTACTTTAGCTCAAAAACTTAAAAAAAAAAGTGATAAATATAGACTTCATTCAAATGTTTTATAAGATAATACATACCTCTGCCAATCAAATACATATGCGGAAAATAAGGTCTTATAAGATGGCCATAAATAAATTATATAACCGCACAAAAAAATTAAACTTGATATTGAACAGTGGATAACAATTTAGTTTCAAATCAAAAGTATAATTATTGGGTTCGAACAAATAATTTATTCTATTTATTGAAAATATTTGCTGCAGTTGCTTCCAGAAGAAATTGACAATATTGGTGTTAATGACTAGTTGCCATAGAATAAATGAAATGTTAAATATAATTTAATATATCGCAATTATTTTAACTTTAAGAAGACTAAAAGTTAATAAATTAATCACTAGTTTAAAGTATTTATTTCTATTATTTATCGCGACTCCTAACAAGATAATGAAGAAACGTTATGCAACCTGCAGTATTAGTTTGTATTGCAGGTTGCATATGGAAAGCGATGTGTACACAAATAATACTAACAGTCCTAATAATGATCTTCATGCCTGAGGATTCATTTTGCTGATGACGAGTGATTTTAAAAGTAATCAAATTGTATATCGTTGAAAGTGTAAAAAATAAATTTTAGATTTTTCTTTAGTTGGTAAATAATGAGCACAGTTTAGTATAATTCTTTTGCTAGGATTGAATTTGCCAGCTGCCATATCCGTAAAACCTTCCCTTCTGCGCACAAAAAATGACGTTTGTATTATTATTGGTTGCAGTGATTAAAAAAAAGATCTTCAGGATAAACATCAATGTCTTTGCCATGACACGCATAATTAATTAACAAATTCGCCTCATCTCATCATTCGTCTCTTAAGTGCAGTCAAAGCGAAATATAATTACCCGGCGAACGCACTAATGGAAACGTCCAATTAAAAGGTTGGCCGAAAAAACGAACCAAACGCAAAATCACGCAACGTGATGCGTCTGCTTTTGAAAAGGGCACGGCAAAACGTTGACAGCTGATGGTCGGTAACTGTTGCGTTTAATTAATTAAACAGGCAAGCTGACCCAAGTCATGCTTCTTGCTGGACACCGAGTTAAAATTTACGAGATATTTGCATGCCATTTAGTCGTCAGTGGAATAAAATAAATGGATGACCTGCTTCGCAGAAACAGAGTAGTGACCTTAATTACACCAAACAAGGCGACACCGAGCTCATGCAAAAGCTTCGTTTAATTTCGTCTGCTTAATCGCTGTGAGAAAAAATCATAAGCAGCGTGAAAATTGATTTTGTAATGATATAGCACTTGACCGTGACATTAGCAGCGCTTCTTCTGACGGATGAGTAATTTAACGGCTGCGGGCATCTTTAGTTTTGCATAATTATCGACAATTAATAAACAAACAATCATTTTAAACGCTTTAAATTTCATTACAATTAAATCAAAATAAATACATTTACTTCATCAAAAGCAGTTTGCTGTGCCAATGAGTGGGTTGTGGAATAAAATACAAACACTAATTTCTCTCATTACGCAATAGCAAGTCAAAGAAGACACAGTGCTTAGTGCTGAGCCACATAAATTGAAGAAACAAACGCCCTGTGTGCTGAAATGGATCCAAGCTTGAGAAAACACCTGGGCGTAATTGCTAACGACCCTGTTTGTCCTTAATTGAACTAAAACTGCAGCTATTCAAGTTGGTCCGTTCGGCTATTTTTCATTCTTGGAATAGATTTTGCTAATACATATTTTTTATTGTAATTTTCCAGGGACTTACTTAGCACAATTATTTCACTACTTGCAATAAAGCACGAAAAAATTAAATTTATATGTAGCTATTTTCTGCATTTTGTGTTAAAATTTAGTTTGTAATTAAAGTTATTTAATTGAAATATAAAGGAGAAAAAAATTTATAATTGATTATTGATTAAGTTTAATTAAATTTTTGCACAAAATAATGAAGCCATGAACTATAGCAAAAAATTTTCAACACTTTTTTTCTATTAGCGCTATTAATAAATCAATAAAGATGAAAAAGTCGATTTATATTTAAATACGGCGCATTAAAACTTAACTGACACCACTTTTATGGCACAATTGCGGCCAAAACCATTTTTACGACGCGTAATCAGATCTCCTCGCTGGCTCGTGCTTCTTATAAAAATCAATCATCCACGAAATGAGGTGCACAAAAATGCATTATTCTGCTCGCGTATTGCACCACTCGGAGATTGAATTCGTGTTTGTACAATTTTTGCTGGGACGCGCGGCATCATGAAATAACATGCAGATTATTATATGTCACGATGCGCCGTGTTCCTCTCCGACTTGCTCATCCCGGCGCAGGTGGAGTCGCTAAAACCCAAGTGAGTTGAGCACGCATTTGACCTAATGCCACACGGCATTCCGAACGTCAGCAAAGCGGAGTGATTTTCTGTGCTTCTTTTTCTGTTCTCCTCTAGTCATTTACATTTTGTTTATTTGCACTTTTTCTTAAATCAAGCATCTTTTGTTTGAAGAAATTGACACTCGAGGAGATGAACATTTCCACAAGCATCTTTTGTCTTGATTTCAATTGAAGTCCAATATAATGTTTTAATATATTTATTTAGATGCCTCTTAATTTTCAAAATTGAAATTAACTTACTCTAGTAATTATTGATAAAAATGCAAATTATCCAAATTATTTGCTCTATGAGTAACAAAAACAAAAAAGTATAATCATCCAATTATTTACTTTTCATATTTATTTCCTTTTCTTTCATTTCCATTTAAGATTTTTCCTGCACAAGAGATTCCAATTAATCAAGTGGTTTATTGCAAAAGAAAAATCACCTCGCAAAGAAATCGCTTTTGATCGGTGCAAGTCAGGTCGATGAACCCAGCTTTGGACAGGTCATTAGAGTTGATAAATGCAATGCAGTTTTCGACAAAAGGGCTGGTTGGCTCATTGGGTAGCCAAAAGGTGCTCGGACCCACAAGAGTTCCACTGGGACACCAGCCAAATGAAGGAACGCATCCAGCTCCATTTGAAGTGCCTGAAGTCCAAACCCACGTATCTGAGCCCCACCCAGAACCTTAAAATGTTCACGGAGAAAATTTGAATTTATCATTTTTCTTGGTTCAATGCAAGCAATAAAAAAATAATAAATTACTCAGGAAGCCTTTTTGAATACACTCTCTTTCTGTATTGTTCTCCACTGAAAATAGTTCCATTCCATACTTGCAGCACTCGTAGTAAGCGTCCTTGTAATTTTTCTATTTGATGTATCATAACATATAAAAATAATGGTCCAAAAATTATTTTTAATTATTAATTCATACAGAGTCCTTGTGGAAAAAATATTTGCGACCGCAGAAAGTTTGAAACTGCCCGTCTGGCCCTGAATTTAATGATTATTAATTTGAAAAATCATAATTTTTGTTCAACTAACCGCTCATTGCTGTAACCTGGCTCACTTTTGCCGGCTGTGAACAATTTTTAATTAAAATTGGTGTTTCAAAATATTGGGTTCCTATTACTTCTGTGGTGCAGTTGTAGTCGTAACAACTGACCGATGTACACGGTTTCGCTGGCATCTACTCCGAAGATTAATAATTTTGTCATCCAAAACTATTGATTAAAATACCTCACAAATATATCTGTAACCGGTATTGCAACCAGCATCAAAGAGATAATTTTGATCTTTCAATAGAGTGGATCCAGGAGCAAAGCGAGAAGCAACGCACCATTGGCTTTCATCGATGTTATTTGGTTCTCCTGCCAGCCTAGAAAATTTATTCAGATCATTTGAATAAAAATGCTTAATTTTTGAACTTACCATTTTGTGTCATTTCTGAGGATGGACGCGCCTGACGAGCAGAACTTGTAGCGGAAGTTGCAATCCAGTTGGGTTCCACTCGTCCAAAACTCGGAAGTGTATTTCAGCAAGGCTGTTGAACATAAGCGTTGGCTGAAATGTGAATGTATTGAAATAATAATTCCACAATTATACAGTTATTGTTGTTGATCTCGAAAATGCATTTCATTTTGGCGTCATCTTCAATCGAAACTAACTCCATTCCTAATTTGCAACACATCTCTAGAGCTTTGTCCCAACTCAACTAATAGAAATTTCATGAAGATTAAAATTTGAAATTTTTATAAAATTAACTGAGTTTGTAGAAAACAGAAACGATTTTCCGCAGCCTGATGCCCATCGTCCATAAGTATGGGTTTCTGTCAAAGCACACACAAAATTTATCAGATATTTTCATTCATCGCTTTTTTTAAATTAATTTCTCCGCGGAATTTATTTCTTACCTAGTATTCCTCCTTTTTTGTTGAAGAGTGATGACTAATTAATTAAAATAAAAATTTATCAATTATAAAATTAACTTATAAACTATAAAAAAATCACATCATTTGTGCACTTTGACTTATCCGGACATGTTGGGGTGCATTCTGGAACGTCTCCCTTGCAGAAAAGTTTTACTTTTCAATGTATAAAATTTCATATGAGAAATACTTCGCATATGAAATAGCGCCCTTCAGTGCAGACGATGTCGTTAAAAACAATTTTTTGTGGATTAACGTCCAATTTCATTTCCATACATCGCTCAGACAAAGGGGTTGAAGGCTCATTTGGGTTCCAGTTGGAGAAGTTTTGATATAAGAGTTTATTTATGCCGCAAAAACCGTATGTTAAATCGCAGCCAAAACCATCGTTAGAGCCTGAAGTCCAATACCAGTCAATGTTATTTTTATACTCCGCTTTTTTTTTAACAGAAAATAATACGTTATTATATGGACTCTTTTGATTTTTGTTAATACCATCGTTCATTTCTGCAATGCACTCTATTTGTTTATAGCTGTCGATACTGAGCAGTTTCAATCCATATTTGCAACACTCCGTTTCTGCGTCAACTCTACTTTTTGAAAGTTTTGTTATGAAATATTGTTTGCCACAGGCACGTCTGAAAGTTCCATCTGCGTTCGCTATAGAAATATAAATAAAATAAAATATATTGTTACAATTTCATTTTCAACTTTTTGAATACATACTTTTCCATTTCTTTGACGAATCAACTTTGGCCACCTCCGTTTGGCAGGTCGCATTGGGACACTTTGGCATAGAACAGCCTGGTTCATAAGTCTTATAAGAAATAAAAAGAAATTAAGAATTTTTTCCATAATCCTTAAATACTTCACAAATGAATTTAGATTTAAAATTGACACAAGTCCTGTCATTGAAGTAAACGTTTGTGGGTGGTGTTCCTCCCGTAACTACCATTTCTATGCAGTTTTCATTGCCACCCATGTTATTTGGCTCACCACTGCCAAATTTGAAATCGGACGTAATATTTTTCGTAGTGCTGGCCGTGCACCAAACGAAATAGTTTTCATGGAACTCATCACTGCCGGCAGTCCACCAGCCAGACTGGAAACCACCGTAGTTGGACCCTTGAAGGAAAAGTAAAAAAAAACCGTTTCGTGTTTTTTTCTTTTTAATTCAACCGACTCACTTGCCAGCATGGAGCTCAAGCACAATACCTCCTGAGCATCCTCTATGCTTAAAAGTTGCATGTTTCGGTTACAACACTCGGCAGCTGCTTCTTGCCAATTTTTCTAGCCATTGGTAAGAATTTAAATGAAATAATAACTGCGGTTCACACACAATGTAATTTTTTTTGTTTCATAAGCAAACAAATAATAAGAGATAAATATCAGTACAGTAAAAAAAATGGATGAGAAATTTATTATATTTCGTTAAAAAATTTAGATGAATTATGATGATATATGATCTAGAATTTACCTCGGAGTTGCTAAAATAATACATTCTTCCACACGCAAGTCTTAACTGGCCATCAATCACCGCAGAAGCTTAAATTTTCAAGTGTTATATTGATAAAAAAAAAATATATTAATCAAAATATTTTTCAAAATTACGGTTGATATAATCATTTGCATCCAGAAGCGATGACTTTTATAAATTATAGAAAATGCTAACTATTAATTCTCCTGTTTCATATGATTATACAAACCTTTTTCTCGCACGTGAATGGTAAGCATGGTGGCTTTGTAGTGGTTGCTACAGGCGTCTATTTATACAATTAAAATTTTATTACTCAACTTTGGTTTCATTTTAAGTCTTGTGATTAACCTCGCAAATATATTTTATGCTTGAATCGCAGCTAACGTCGTTCATCACGTTGTTTTTGACAGGCCCTGCGGAGATAACGACCGAGGTACAGTCCTCCTCCTCCCCAAAGAACCCTTTTCCGCTCGGCTCTCCCGATTTCCATGTCAGATTTCCCAGTGCAGTAAAATTTCCGGTGCACCACAAAAACTCATTCTCCTTTCTGTAGTCGCTCAGTGACGTCAGATATTCGGCAGGTATTCCAGAACCATCTGGACCTATTTGATTAAATGTTAAATCATTGCAAATAATTATTGATAAAATGTGATTTCCATTACTGTTCATTAAATCAGATATGCAGGTAATGCGTTGCCATGACTCGATCGTGAGCAATTGCATCCCTAATGAGCAGCAGTAGCTGGCAGCGTCAGCCCACTTTTTCTGCAACGAATTTTGTAGAAAATTGAAAATTTTGTTTAAATACACTTACCGTGTCTGAGCTAAACAAGTAAAGTCTGTCGCAGGCTTGTTTCAAAACACCGTTTGTGATAGCTTTTGCTATAATTTAATTATCGTTTTAAAAAGTATAATAAATTTTGAGGGTTTTTTTAGTTCCAGTAAATCAATTCCTTACGATTAACTTTCCCGGAAGTCGCATCCAGTTTGGTTGCCTATATCACAAATGTAAAATTTTACTGCGATAATGCAATTTTTTCCAAATCTGTTCCAAATGTTGAGGAAGATTTTAAATTTGTGCATTATTGAGTTTTTAAATTTTATTTAATTCTCTTAGCGGGTCTCAAAGGTAAATATAACCTTTTTTTAAATTTCAAGATAAAAATTTTGAATAACCCAAGATAGATGTTCTTACATCAACACTGCACTTAAACGGAAGACAAGGAGGCACCGTAGTTGTAGTAGTTCCTGATCTTGTGGTAGTAATGGCTCCGCTGATGGTTGGAAGTTGTGTGGTTGCTGGACCGGAGGTTGGCAAATTGGTGGCCGTTGAAACTGTCATGGATGGTGCAGAGATTCCAGGAGCTGCCGGAGATTGCTGTGTTGGTAGGTTGGTTGAAGTTGCACTTCCATCCAATATTATGGGTGCAGAACTTTCAGTAGCTGCCGGAGATTGTTGCGGTGGTAGGTTGATTGTAGTTACACTGCCATCTGAAGATATGAGAGGCGTTTCTGGAGTTGTCAGGGATGAAAGATCCGCCAATGGTGTATCCGCAGGATCTGCACTAGCACTTGCAGTTGCTTTGAGGAAAATTTAAACTTGATTAATGATAATAAATAATTGTGCTTATCAATTAAACATAATTTTGACTTGTAAATCATCCCAAAAAATTATTTTCTTTTGATGAATTTACTTGTCATTAATTATAAAAATAAAACAATTAAAATTATCTATTGATCTCTTGAATAGAAATTTGTAAATTTTGATTTAGTAAAAGCTGACAGTATAAAAAAAATATAAGTGTGCTGTGTGCAATTGGCGATAAAATTTTTTTATTATTAATTTTGTTTTAAAGGAATCTTTCTAAATATTTTTTATTTATTTAATTACTGATATCGGATTGTAGAGTTGTTCCATCAACAGGCTGAAGTGATTGTTGCTTGGAAGGATTACCCTTTGCTGGCGTTGTCTAGGAGGTTTTATACAGGAACTAAACATTTTTCTTGTATATTTAGTAAAAACTAATTACCCCTAATATTGAAAAGGCGGTTTTTAAATCAAGAGAAGTTTTTTTGGTTGCTGTAGTGTTTCCATAGCATCGTCTGCTATTGTCTGAACAGCATCTTATTATAAAGGTGCGTCGTTGCGGCTTCTTGGCTGTTCAAAAATTGTTTATTTATTTGGGTATAAAATTTCATTTTAAAATTTTTGAGCTCACATTTCAATAATTGTATTCGGATTACATCTGGGTTTGCTCCAACATGAACGTTAATCTAGGAAATTAGATTGATTATTTAAAAATATTTGGTTCTAACAAATGAAATTTGTACAAATATTGCACAGAAAGCAGCTGCAGCGAGCAGAGAATTCCATTTCATGTTCGTCTGTAGCAGAACTATTGCTAAACAGGAAAGAAATAACTGCCTGTGTTGGAACTGTGCTGCCAGCATTGAACGCTTTGACGCATTTATTATATAGACTATAGCATGAATATTGTTTAGGCTATAAAACATTTATTTGCAACGTCAGCTGAAACAAATATTTTATAATCATTCGTCTAGTAAAAGTAATCATTTAAAGCTACTATTTACCTGAATTGTAATTTTTTATTACAAGGAGGAGAACAAATATCATAATGGCGACTATAAATTTAAAATATTAGGATTGCTTAATACTTATGTTTTCAAATTTTTTTCTTTGTCGCTGGTTCCCATGCATATAAAGCGGACGGAAATCATTGGACGTCATCAAAATGAACCTTTTGGAAGAGTCATTTGCAACAGAGAATTGCATAATTATTTTGTTGACGTCATTAGTGTCCAGCTTATGAGCATTAATATTTTTTTTTCATATAAACGATTTTTACGGATTTTTATCAAATTTATAAACCATTATTTGACGCATCACTTATTTTCTAAACACGTTGAGAGCGTTACATTTAAAATAAAGGCAGAAGAAGTGGAGGCAGTTGACGAAAAGTAATAAAATAACTTATATTTTTACACCTATGTAATTTGCTAATTTTATTACAAGAATGAGAAATATTATTAATTTTACTGTATGCCCAAGGTATATTAAATATCTCTCTCTATCATAAATATTGGAATATTTCATGAAAATTTTTAATCACTGATTCATAATGATAATCATGGCGCAGACGGAAATACGACGTCAGCAAAATGAAATACAATTTAAATAATATTGTTGCCCTCATACACTGTGAGCGCATATGGAATTTCAAAATTGTTATACACTATTTAAACGATTTAGTTTGATTGACCGAAACCTGCAGCTTACATTTTTTTAAACAAATTTGCACATTATTTTTAAAACAAAGAAAATCTCTCTCTGGCATTTGTTGAAAAGATACAGGCGGTGCTTAAAAAACGATTAATTACCAATTTACCACGAAAGACGAGCGAAGGCGGCAAACGGTTATGCAAGGAAAAAAAGAGTACACGCTCAATTATATTTTTTTTAGTCCGCGGCATAAGGAGCAAAACGAGTGTCGGCAAAAGTGACGCAATCGCCATTCTGCAGGCCGGCCGCACATCCCGTTCACTTGCGGAGAAGAATCTCCTTAATAGGTACACACAACACAGGCTATCGCTTTCGTTTTGAAAATTGTGCGTCGCCACGGCGAGATAGAAAAGTGAAGCACCTATGATGGCAAAGTGCAGCCGAGTGCATCGTTATAGTGGCTGGGGCGACTATTGTGCTCTTGACACAAAGTAATTTTTTGCGTCAGAGCGTCACTTTCTCGCCTCTGAATGGGCCTGAAAAGTTTTGGTTTAATTGGATGGGTATTGAGATAATGAATTCTGCATCGGGTCAATTTCGATGCCTTTTTTGGGAAACCAATTTGCTGCTCTCAGATTGATTCTGATTGAATTTTGTCCTACCGACACTGTTGGGAGTTTTAAAAGGTTCTTGCCTAGATGCAGAATAGGACGTTTTTGGTCGTTATTCAATTAGATGCTAATTTCATTGCGGTCCTTTTCTTATCAAGTTCAAAAAATCTTGTTCTAGGCAAATAAAATACTCCTAGAGAACAAAGCCGGTTCGATTGTTTGCAAAACATAATTGAAAAATAATACCTCGCCTTGATCGTATGGCAGGATGCGAAATTTGAATAATGTTTCAACATTAAATAATAGATTAACAGCTGGTCACACCAACGAAATTACCAAAAAGGAAGGCCACCGGCATGGTTCCCTAAAAAAGGGTCTCAAGGATCAAATAGAAATTAAATATTGCGCCGCGATGAGACGTCGGCGACCTTGAGGTGAAAGAAATCATCCGCGCCAGCGATCTCATCTTGCAATTTAATGAGATCATCTGCAAGTGTATCGAATCGCAGGTAGCATAAAAAATTTGCCTAAATTGAGCAAACCGAAATTCGCTGCCAGTAGAATGAGGAGGAATTTTTGAAAAATCGCAACACTCGGCCTACTTACTAAATTTCGGACGCATTTTGCAGACGGCGCGATGCCCATCCCTGAAAATTTCGTGACTCCTCTCGCGAGAAAGCAGGCGAGATTTATTGCGATCAGAACACACAGAACTTGTTATTCCACCTTGTGATTATAGATGTTAGTCTAGATTTTAATTCGGTAAAAATTGGATTAATTGCACACTGGACCGGAGAGACTGTTTTTCTTCTGGAGCTCGGCCAAGAAGTTATCTAATCAATAACCTGTACGTGCTCTCCGCAGGTTTTCTAATAGGTGCTTCGAGGTGGACATTAATTAGTGACATAATTAAAAGTCCACGCCCCGGCAGATCGAAAGTTAAGATTTTGGAGCTAACAAGGAAATGAAAGATCCAAGAGTTATTATATTAAATACAAGAAACATTCATCATAAGACAAATTTCTTCAATTAATCACATTTTTTGTACACTGGTCTTTTTATTATGATTAACTCAATACATGTGATCATTTCCTGGTTATGACAAAATACTAAAAAAAATCATAAATGACTTTAGGAAATCAGTTACGGGAAAGCCATTTAATCTATTTTTTCAATCAATAAATATCCTCTACAAAACATATTATAATTCTACATAAAATTTAATTTTTATATCAATATGTTTTTAATTAACGCAGATTCTTTAATCTTTTTATTAAGAAAATATAATTCCTTCGACCGTTGTTCTCAATTGTTTACTTCAAAGCCATAACGTTTGATGATCCAGTATGATGTGAATGAATTTTGACTGAAAGCCGAAACAAAACCTATTATTTAGCCGTCACTTAATGCAAAATTATCATTCCCATCATCTCGGCCCCGCGATTAAATAGCGTTTTGATCCATCGTTCGCGCCTAATAGATTTTTGTTGCGCCGCCTTTGATTAATGCATGCGGAATCTCATAATATTCATTTCGATCTGGAGAGCCACGCGTCTGGAATAAACAAATCAGACAGACAGCGCAGCTCCTGCAGACTTAGATCCGCAGTCTGATTGTATTTTTTTCTTGGAATCGGCGAGCGACGAGAGACTCCTTTGAAATGCAGCCTGCCACGCGCGTTTCCTTTTTTCTTCATTTATGACCGACGTGCAAAAATTTTCAGATAAGAAAAGTAGTTCACGTTTTGGGTATTTTGAAATCTGACTTTCCTTTAATGAAAATTTCCTTGAATCTATAAAGTTACGTCAACTTGCAAAAATTATTATTATTTCGCCAAGCCCACACTTCTTTGAAATCGTTTAGATTTGTATCGTTCTCAAGAGACAAATTGCCAAATAGTTTCAACCGATGAAAAGTAAACGCAGTCGTGCTTGTAAGTTTTAACGAAGTAATAATTGCAAATGGGCTTACACGAGAGAATGCTCGTCAATTTATTACCGAGTACACCACAATAACTCAGTCGCAGTGGATTAAAGTATTAGTACCTGTCACGCATGAGCAAAAGAATCAGATTTATTTATTCATTTAAATGATGGCCTGGTGTGAAAAATTATGACTCCTGTCTGCAAGTACATTTGTACTCCGCTGATTGTGAAGTGCATGACGATTTCACTTCTGATCTCTGAGCAAAAAGAGAAAAATGTTAAATTTATTATTTTTCTATAATAAACTCTTTATGAAATTCCATCTTTTCATTTGATCGCACGTCGAGAAGTTTCCTCGTTCACCCGCACAAACTCGTGTAAGCTTCAGGGGTCAGCAGTCAAAAACAAAGAGTCTCGACCCCCTGTCAATTATCATCGGCGCACGCGAAAGGGACGCCGTGTGTCAGTGCCAATAAAAGCAGCGAAACTAACGTAATTGCAAAAAGGAACATGTGTGATGCAAGTTGTGCCTTTGCATTATGTATGGTGTGTGTAAAACGTTAAGTTAAAAAAAGGAGTCCGCGCATGTGTGTTTATTTTTGCCTGGTGATTTAATGGGTTGCGCCTTCGATTCGACTGTCAAAAGGTCATGGAAAAACTACCGCAGCCAAATTCCACGCAGGCAGTCTATTTGTTTTCGCGATATGGCTCATGCTCCATTGTTTGTGTTAAGCTCGCGATCATCTTAGTTTGACATTCAAATGTTGGGTTTGATAGGAGCTATTCAACTAGCTATACTTGCAACAAAAATTATAAATTTTCCTGCCTATTTTTTTTGAACTAGTTTCTGTGTACAATTCTTTTTCTATTTCAAAATTTTTACCAATTATTTAAAATTATTCATTAATTTTACATTATTAATTTTAATTCCAACCATTCTTACAACATGAATAAAAAAAATCAATTATTATTTTATATTTATAATAGAATCTACATTGAAAGAACATTATCTAAAAATGCAAAAAATTTATCATTATTTTTAAACTTTTATAACTTTAAAATTAATTAACCTCGACAAGCTGCAGCATCTCCATGCTGAAGAGAAATGGATAAAAGAGCTAGGCCTATGAGAGCGTCATCTCATTATTGACTTTCCGCTTTGCAGATTATAAAAATGCCCAATTTTAGACGTCCTCATCAGGCAACACTCCTCCGGAGGTCCTTTCCTGCTGACAAAGATTGGCGTCTCAAAATACCAAAGCGTGATTACGTTTAAACAAGTCTCGCATAATTGGAAAAATTACAACGCTTGACGCTTATGTCAAGGCTGGAATGCCTGCAGATTTTGTTGCAGCAAAAAGCCCACCGAATGTGATTCATCCTCGATCCCGGCCTAGGATGATCTGGCACAATGTTTCAAGTTCGCCTGTCGACGGCTTTTCTTTTGCCACCCACTTCAAAAGATGACTTTTGTTTCTCTATCTGCAGCTCGCGGAATTTATCCTGCGTGATTTATTGCCAACCCGAATTCAGAGTTTCGACCTTTCCAAATGAAAATATTTAACGCCCACGTGGGCACAAAAATAAGTGCGTGCGATTTTATATATTTTTATACGTCAACTTTGCGATTGCATG